GTCCCCCCCCCAGCCCCGGCTGCCCATGGCTGGTGGGAAGACACCCCCCCCCGCCTCGTCCTGACCGGCTGGACTCGAACCCGGGTCTCGTCCGGAACTCTGCCCCCTTTTTGACCCATGGCGAGGGGTCCAGGGCAGCCCCAGAACTGACCTGGGGGAGCAAGAAGACCCTCCAGGATACCAATGACATCCCCCCCCCCCGGCAACTCCTCTAGGGCCAGTTTCAGCCCTTCTTGCACAGATGTGGGGCGATTTGGCAACCCCTTATGGCAATGATATCCCCCCCCAACAAGCCTTATTTCCACCCCCAAACAACCCCCCCAACCCTTGCAAAAAGCCACTTGCCATATGCAGAAGTCGGGGTTCGGCTCCCCCCCACGGGCGCAGGGCTGGAGGGTGCCCGAATCCCACACATCTGGAGCAGGGCTCAGCTGGAAAGGGCTGGGGGGAGCCTCACTTCTTAACCCCCCCTTCCCCCAGGGAAGAGGGGGTCCTTAGGGGCCAAATCCCCGAGACCCTAAGCAATCCCTTTTGGAAACAGCTGCCTCTGCATGCAAGCTTTTTAAAAATAATCCCATTTTCTCTGCAAACGGGGAGATTTCTCGGGGTGTAGAGAACCGTAGAAAAGATTCTGGAGAAGGAAGGAATATATTTAGCAAACCTCAGTGGACTTTGCTTGATCTTGCTTTGAAGAAGGGGAGGCAGGCAGGGGGGGAGGACAATCCAGCATCCTCCAGAACAGGGTTCAAGAAGGGGGAAGCCTAATCCATCAAACCCACCAACCAGACAATGTAACTCCGGGACCCCTAACCCCATCCCGGCCACTGTAAACATGCTGCCTGCCAGGCTGGGCCAACTTGGCAGGGTAGCAACAAGTGTGCCAAGAACTGGTTTAGCCTTTCCGTCTCCATTCCCTCTTCCAGCAAAGCCACCCCTAATGCCCTCCCTGGAACAATAACCGTGGCAGATAGGCTAGGCCGAGAAGAGAAGGACGAATAGTGCCCCAAACCCGGGACAAGTTGACATCGCCCCACTGCATCTCCACCACCCAAGCCCTGCGCTCTCCCCATTGAGGGCTCGGTGCTTTTTGAGCTTGGTCGCTTTCTTGCAGATGTTTCATTACTCAAACTAGATAACATCATCAGTGTGATGACAGGGAGCTAGTCCTGACTAGTACTGATGATATTACCTAGTTTGGGTAATGAAACGTCTGCAAGAAAACCACCAAGCTCAGAGAGCACCAAGACCCCACAATCCTCCTCCTCCTCCTCCTCCTCTCCACACACCCCGCTTTCTCCTAGCACTGATGATGTCACCTAGATGGGTTATGAAACGTGTGCAACAGAACCACCAAGCTCAGAGAGCACCAAGGACCCCAGTCTTCTCCTCCTCTTCTCTTTCTTTTCCTCCTCTCCACACACCCACTTTCTTCTAGCATCCATGATGTTCCCAAGGACCCCACAATCCTCCTCCTCCTCTCCACATACCCCGCTTTCTCCTAGCACTGATGATGTCACCTAGATGGGTCATGAAACGTCTGCAACAGAACCACCAAGCTCAGAGAGCACCAAGGTCCCCACAGTCGTCTCCTCCTCCTCTTTCTTTTCCTCCTCTCCACACACCCACTTTCTTCTAGCATCGATGATGTTCCCAAGGACCCCGCAATCCTCCTCCACCTCCTCCTCTCCACATACCCCGCTTTCTCCTAGCACTGATGATGTCACCTAGATGGGTCATGAAACGTCTGCAACGGAACCACCAAGCTCCCAGAGCACCAAGGCACCCCACAGCTCAGCCCGGAGCTACAAAGATTCCCCTTTACCGGCTCTTCTCCCCTTTACCCACAGCCGGCGACGTCCCCCCGGGAGCCGAAAGGCAGGCGGCCGGCCTAGAGATCCGCCGCCTCCCCTGGCCAACGGCTGCCCAAGCGGGCGGGCATCCCGGCCGCGATCCGCTCCTGCTGCGCCCCCGTCGGGTCCCTGCGTTGCAGCCTCCCCTGCGCGCCGCGCGCCCTGCGCTCCGGAGCCGGGAGGGCGGCCCGTTTCGCGCGCCCTTCCCCTTCCTGTCTCCGGCCCGCCCGTCCGCCCGGCTGGCAGGCGGCTGGCTGGCTGGCTGGCGCCGCCCCCGGCCTCCCTGCCCGGCGGATCGCGGAGCCCGGCGGCGCCTCCACCGCGGCCCGGGGCCGACGGGCATGGTGCGCCATGGCTACCTGGAAGCGCGACGGGCGGCTGACGGCGCTGCAGCGGCTGGGCTGCGCCGGGCTGGCCGGGGCGGCGAGCCACAGCCTGACGGCCCCGATGGAGGTGCTCACCGTGCTGGGCCAGGTCGGGGCGCTGGCCGGGCGGCCGGGCGGCGGCCTCTGGCAGGCGGGGAGCCGGCTGTGCCGGGCCGAGGGGCCGGGCGCGCTCTGGAAGGGCAACCTGACCGCCTGCCTGCGCCTCCTGCCTTACAGCGCCGTGCAGCTCGCCTCCTACCGCCGGTAAGCCGCGAGGGAGAGGGAGGGACGGGCTAGGTGAGGGGGGGAAGGCAAGCGGTGATCCGGGTTTGTGTCCGGCGCCCGACCGGGTCGTGAAAACGAAGCAGCTGCCCCGGCCCGGCGCGCTCCGCTGGGTGAGCCCGAACCTGGCGTGGGAGGTTGCAGCGTCTTATGCCGTTTGGGGAGCAGAAGGGAAGGATCGGAATCATTTGAATCAGAATAGAGCTGGAAGGGACCTTGGAGGTCTTCTAGTCCATCACTCTGCTCAAGCAGGAGATCCTGTACCATTTCAGACAAATGGCCGTCCAGTCTCTTCTTAAAAGCCTCCAGTGATGAAGCACCCACAACTTCTGGAGGCCAGCTGTTCCACTGGTTAGTTGTCCTCAAGCTGTTAGGAAGTTTCTCCTTAATTCCAGGTTGCTTCTCTCCTTGATTAGTTAGGAAGTTTCTCCTTAATTCCAGGTTGCTTCTCTCCTTGATTAGTTATTCATATAGATAGGCGGTTCACCCCATATTAGGGAATGTGTAAACTTAAAACCATTAATTTGGCAACCGTTCAAAGCTACAGCATCACTAAAAAGAAATAACTTATGACCACTTAAAATTGTGGAAGCAACTCTGCAGTCATGTGATCAAAATTTAGGTCCTTGGCATATGCATATATGACGATTGCAGCATCTTGAGGTCATGTGACCAAAATTTGCAACCTTCCCAAGCTAATGAAGGAAGTCAGATTTACTTATGGACCTTGTAATTCACTTAACAACTGCAGTGATTTCAATTAGAATAGAATAGAACAGAACAGAACAGAACAGAACAGAACAGAACAGAACAGAACAGAACAGAATAGAATAGAATAGAATAGAATAGAATTTAAAAGAGAAGAGAAGAGAACAGAAGAGAAGAGAATACAGGAATGGAATAGAATAGAATAGAATAGAATAGAATAGAATAGAATAGAATAGAATAGAATAGAATAGAATGGACCTTGGAGGTCTTCTAGTCCAACCCCTGCTCTAGCAGGAGGCCTTATACCATTCCAGACAAGTGGCTGTCCAGTCTCTTCTTAAAAATCTCCACAACTTCTGGTGGCAAGCTGTTCCACTGGTTAATTGTCCTCCCTGTGAGGAAGTTTCTCCTTAATTCCAGGTTGCTTCTCTCCTTGATCCATTATTTCTGGCTAAATCCTTGGCTTCAAATATCTAGACCACCTAGATCTCCCCTGTTGCCTTCAAGAAAGATGATGGGAAACGACCAGCTAGCTGGACGGAGGGGTCAAGCAAGGGCCTCACTTGGAGTCCTTGCATAGCTGAAGCACTTGTTGAAGGAAAAATCTGGGGAAAAAATGACTTTTTCCTCTGTTGATCTCGCCTTAGATGTGTGATGTTGCTGATGGATGATCTGGGCCATATTTCCCAGTGGAACGCCATCGTGGCCGGGAGTCTGGCGGGAATGATGGCGGCTGTGGCAACCTATCCGACGGAGGTGGTCAAGACCCGGCTGATTGTGCAGAATCGCCTGGACCCTCCCTACAAAGGCATTCTTCATGCTTTATACATGATTTACCACCAGGAAGGAGCGTCTGCACTTTATCGGGGTGTTTCCTTGTCAGTATTAGGTATTTAAGTTTCCCCTCCTCAAATCGATTGATATTCTATTATCTTTCAAACTTGGCACTTTTTTAAGAGGTCTAGACTTCAACCCCCAGAATTCTGTAAGAGGTGTGTGCACACGCCATAAATAGTTCCTTCGGGATGATCTGTCCCTAACTTGGCACTTAAGATCTTCCAACCTTGTACCCATCACCTCTTCCAAGGACAGTCCAGTAACCAATAAAGGAGAATATTCGTAGTTCAAGGCTGAACTGTGGGGTCTTTCGGGCTCCCTGTTTGCTTGCAGATGTTTCATGGCCCAACTAGGTAACCCCTGTCCCCTCTAGACCAGAGATCCCCAATCCCTGGTTCGTGGACCGATACCGAGCTGTGGCATGCCAGCAACCACTCCACACAAACAAGCAAAGCCCCATCCATGGCATGCAGGCAGCACACAAAACCACGCACTTTCCGGTCCATGGAAAAAGCTTTCTCTACGGAACCGATCCCTGGTGCCCAAAAGGTTGGGGACCTCTGCTCTAGACCGATGTTGTTACCTAGTTGGGTCATGAAAGGTCTGCAAGTAAACAAACAAGTTCAAAAAGCACCAAAAAGCACCCCTCATTCCAATTTCTTCAATGCCCTCCATCTCATTTGCTCTGTTCCCCATCAACCTTATCAAGCTTACAGTAAATACTTTTTTTTACCGGAGAATATATTTCCAAATAGTTCCACAAATAAGTTTTTCCAGAAGTACGCAGCTTTCTAATTGTGGTAATTCAAGTTTTATCAGTCCAATTATAAGTGACATGGGACATTGCACTCCAGTATTAACTGGGATGGGCCAGGCTCGCCGAATATCGTGACGGCTTGATTATGTGCCTTCAAGTTGGTGATCTTAGTGATCACGTAGATTTTCTCCAGGATGATCTGTCCCTCACCTGGCCTTTCAGGTCTGCCCCATCCCTGCTGTGGCTGAGTCCATCCATCTTGCTGCTGGTTGTCCTCTTCTCGTCCGTTCCCCCTTTCCCACCCTTAGAGTCTTCTCCAGAGAGCTAGGCCAGTGGTGGCGAACCTATGGCACGGGTGCCAGAGGCGGCACTCAGAGCCCTCTCTGTGGGCACGCGCGTCGTCACTCCAGTCCTAGGCCTTCAGCTGGGTTTTATAAACCCTTTTTGCTTTAGGCGTCCGCCGCCGTGTGCAAAAAAACCCCCCAGGTTCAATCAATCAGTCAATTTCAACTTCTTGCGGGGGGGGGAAAAAGATCTTGCAAAGTTGGAATTGATTGATTGAACTTTTTAGTCCCACCCAGTCTGCCGTTACCACCGCAGCCACGCCCAGCCAATGCATAAGTGGGTTTTGGGTTGCAGTTTGGGCACTCGGTCTCTAAAAGGTTCACCATCACTGAGCTAGGCCTTCACAGATATTGTCCTAGTAGATCAATATTGATACCCTATGTCCCTGCCTCTGGGTATTCACTACCAAATCTACCTTGTTTGTCTTTGCTAACAGGTGCAATCCCCTTTTCCATTGCTTCCTTCCTTGTTTACACTCACCTGGATGAACTCTGGGGTCAACCCAGCCTTCCTTTCACACCAATGCAAAACTTCTTCAACGGCTGTCTGGCTGCTGCAGTGGCTCAAACCGCCTCTTTCCCCTTTGAAACAGTCAAGAGGAAAATGCAGGTAAATTCTACTTCAGGGACCTTTTCACCACACCTGCCAAGGTGTGCAGATTGACATCTGGTTGGGAATGGCAAGAGCGTTGCCTCGCTTTGGGAACTAACGCGATGTACATCCCCATCTTACAGGTAGAAGTTCTGTTTTTCCCTCTTTACGACCCAATGAGGTAGGCTGGGCTGAAAAAGGGACTGCCCCAAAAGCAGTATAGTTGTCATTTGCCAAGTTTGAAAAACAGGACAGCGTCTGCAAATGGAATTGACATTTTTTTTTATTGCAACAAGTCCACCTTTAATAGCACAAGTTTTTTCCCCCTTACTAAAAGAAGGAAATTAGCCTACTGATAGGTTTATCACCCATATTATCCTCCCGGCGAAAAAGTCTGCAAAATATTAGAAAGTTCTTTCTTGTCTCTTTTATTTATTCCCTTACAGAAATGGAGGGGGGGGAGGTTAGGAATGAAATAATCAAAGCCCCCAACCTCATTGCCTGCCCCCCTTTTCAGATTTAGCATAGGGCTGTGGGGGAAGAAACATTGCCTCTTTTGAACCACTAGGGGGCACCCTGCTGCTACTTAAATATTCACTTGGCTGGAAAATTCCCTTTTATTGCAGAATTTCCTTAAAGGACTCTATTAAATACAGATAGTCCTTGATTTACGACCGTAATTGGCAGCAAAACTTCCATCGCTAGGCAATGCAGTTTTAAAGTGAGCCATCACATGACTGCTGCACCCGATTTTATTATCTTTGGGGCTGCAAATCTGCTTTCCCCCATTGACTCTTGATTGACAAAGGTGACTTGAGAAAGTCACAAAGGGTGATCACATGACCCCAGTTGTCAAGAATACGCGCAGGTTGACAAGTGCCCAAAATTACAATCACGTGACCGCGGGAACATTGCAATGTAGGTGAGAACCTGTCATAAATCACTTTTTTCAGTGCCGTTGCAACTTCAAATGGCCACTAAGCCAATTATAGTCCTAAGTCGAGGACTGCCTGTTTGGTCTTGAAAATAAATTGTTTAGGAAACAGTCCATTTACTGGATCGTCGGTGGTATTCATCCCAATTTTATTCCTGCTTTGTTTCTTCCCTTCGTTGCTGATTGGCACGTTAAGAGAAATGCGAGATACAAAATTGGCTCCGTTTTATTTACATTTATTGCATTTCAAGCCTACTCTGTCTCTGAGAGCCCAAGGGCAGCTAGTCCTCAATATGTAAACTTAATGGAGCCCGTCCATTACGGTCGTGTGCCATGGTGATCATAAAATCATGGGGTCACGGGAGTAACCTGCTTTTATGACCTTTTTGTGACGGTCATTAAGCAAACCCAGGAACTTCCGGTTTTCAGGAAAACCATTGTAAAAATGCCTTCACAGGACCACAAAGGACAACTGTGATTGTGTAACTGCAAGGGAGCCCAACCATCCGAATTTCAGAATCCGGTTATAACTCCCTTTTGTCAAGTAGGTTATATCTTCGAACCGTCGCTAAGCGAAGATGGACAGCGATTAATATATATACGTTACTTATATATAAGGGTGTAGGTCTATAGTATACATATATGTTGTATATAGTATGTTTTAAATGTGTGTTATGTATCTGTACACTTTGAGAGCAAGCAACTAAATCTTATTTTTAATGTGTGCCGTTGTGCCACAGGAAAAAATGACAATAAAGGTTATCTAAACTAATCTAATCTAATACACATAGTCCTCGATTTATGACCACAACTGAGCCCAAAATTTCTGTTATTAAGTGAGGCATTTGTTAAGTGTGTTTTGCCCCGTTTTATGACCGTTCTTGCCATAGTTGTTCGGTGATAAGTTAGTAACCCAGTTGTTAGGCGAATCTGGCTTTCCCCCATTGATTTTGCTTGTCGGAAGGTCTCAAAGGGGGACTGCGTGACCTTGGGACACAGCCACGGTCATAAGTATGAACCAGTTGCAATGAAGAGAAGGACGAGGGGGGACATGATAGTAGCGTTCCAATATCTCAGGGGTTGCCACAAAGAAGAGGGAGTCAAGCCATTCTCCAAAGCGCCAGAAGGCAGGACAAGAAGCAACGGGTGGAAACTAATCAAGGAGAGAAGCAACCTAGAACTAAGGAGAAACTTCCTGACAGTTAGAACAATTAACCAGTGGAACAACCTGCCTCCAGAAGCGGTGAATGCTCCAACACTGGAAGTTTTTAAGAAGAAACTGGATAGCCCTTTGTCCGAAATGGTATAGGGTTTCCTGCCTGAGCAGGGGGTTGGACTACATGACCTCCAAGGTCCCTTCCAACTTTATTATTATTATTATTATTCTGTATCTGACTTTTGATCACAGGATTGTGGGGATACGACAAAGGCCGTAAGTGTGAAAAACGGTCATAAGTCCCTTTTTTTCAATGCCGTTGTCCCTTTGAACGGTCACTAAACGAACTGGGGTAAGCCGAGGACTGACTTGTAACAGCTGAAAGGGCAGACTGCATCTCCTATAAACAGGCATGTCGCCCACTCGGCTGGCAGCACCAGCTGAAGCTCTGCCCAGCGGATCATCTTTCCGTAAGCGAAACGTGAACACTCGCCAAGCTTGCAAATCAGAGTTGATCCTGCCTGAGTAAAGGGGATCATTTAGGCTTATCACCTCTGGAAGCTGTCTTTGCAGATTGATTTACGGCACCTAAGGTCAGAGTCAGACAGAGGAAACAGCTTTTATTTAAGTCCTCCACACGGGCATGCTTAAAATGTTCTCTCTGTAGCTCTTGGGTCTGTTGGCCTGTCAGCCTACTACACCCAGGCTCCGAATGGGAGAAGCATTGTGCTAGTATTATATATAAATCATATGTGCACAATCATGGCAGAGAACTTGGGGAAAGTCCGAAATATTAAAGGAGAATATTTGTAGCTCAGGATTGACATAAGGGGTCCTTGGTGGTCCCTGAGCTTGCTTCCTTTTTTGCAGATGTTTCATGACCCAACTAGGTAACATCATCAGTGCTAGAAGGAAGTGGGGTGTGTGGAGAGGAGGAAGAGGAGGACTGTGGGGGTCCTTGGTACCTTCTGAGCTAGCTCTTTTCCTTGCAGACATTTCATGACCCAAACTAGGCAACATCATCATTGCTATCGCTAGTCCTGATGATGTTGCCTAGTTTGGTCATGAAACGTCTACAGGAAAACAAACTAGCTCAGAGAGAACCAAGGACCCCTAAAGTCTGAACTAACACAGGTAGTCCTCAACAGTAAAGGTTGGGATGAAAAAGGTGTTTAGATCCATTCTCCTTCAGCATGAAAATGTAATCTTCCCATTTGAAATATCCTATTTTAAGGCCCTGCAAATAGAAAAGTAGCAGATCAGTGAACGGTGGGTCGTGCTAGTCTTCTACTTGCAAGGAGTTTTTAAGCACAAGAGTGTTGTTGTTTTTTAATATGATCTTTCACATCTGGAGTGGAACAACGCAGCAATTATTTTGCCTTTTGCATTATTTCTTGACCGTCCGGTTTGACTCTTCAGCTTCAGAAGATATTGTTGATATCTTCAAAGCTTCGTGCAGCCTGCTCTCTGAAGTTGAAAAATGTGGAAAGGAAATGAGGTCAGCCCTTCACAGCTTAACTTGCAAGTTTTGGCATTTTTTAATGTCTCAAAAACATCAAAACACATTTGTTTGGGAACCAGGCCAGAGACAAGCGATTCAAAATTATTTGTCTAGTACTGTATACCGAGGCTGTGTTGGTTAGAGTAACAATCCCTGGGTTAAACCCAAGGTTTTACAGTTGCTAAAACCAGAAATCATTCAACACACAATATTGGCCCATATGGGGGGAAAATGTAGTCCAAATCTCCGAGATTAAATATGCCACCGACAGTCCTCGTTTAGCGACTCCCTCGTACAGCGGCTGTTCGCAGTCACAGTAGGGATGAAAAAGGAACTTTGCAAACAATCCTCACATTTATGACCTTCAGAGGTCTGCAAAGCAAAGGATAGCTGAAGCAAGAGGGGAAGCCCAGTTGCAGTTCCACTTAGCGACCGGCTTGCTGATCCAGTTGCGGTCGTTAAATGAGGACTACTGAAAGTGCAGTATTTGAAAATTCAGACACCAGCTGTCCTTCTGAGAGCTATTCCAAAGCCAGTCTGTTCTTCGGTGACATTTTGATGGCGTAAGATAGATCCTGGCACGTGAACGATCAAGAGTTGCAGAAAAATGGATCTCTCGTATTTTAAATCACAGGTAGTCCTCGACTTACAACAGTTCATTTAGTGACCGTTCGAAGTTACAGCGGCGCTGAAAAAAAGCGACTTATGACTGTTTCTCACAGTTCACGACCGTTACAGCATCCCCATGATCACATGAGTAAAATGTAGACGCTAGGCAACTGGCATGTACTTAGGACGGTTGCAGTGTCCCAGGGTCACCAAGTCCCCTTTTACGACCGTCTGACAAGCCACGTCAATGGGGAAGCCAGATTCACTTAACAACTGTGTTACTAGCTTATTCACTGAACAAACTGAGGCAAAAACATGGTAAAACGGAGCAAAACTCACTTAGCAAATGTCCCACTTAGTAGCCACAGACAATTTGGGCTCAATCGTGGTCGTAAGTCGAGGATTTCCCTGTGGCCGATGTAACTGCTTTAAAAGCCTTCTCTCTCTTCTCTTCCCGAGCAGGCTCAAAGCCCCTGCCTCCCTTCTTCTGGGGGGGTCGATGTCCATTTTGCCGGTGTGATAGATTGCTTTAAACAGACGGTGAAAAACAAAGGAGTCCTCGCTCTCTGGAATGGACTAACTGCCAATTTACTCAGGGTAAGCCTTCCTGCGCAGTTCCACTGGAAAGTAATCTTGCTGTTCCATTAATAACAACAACAACAATAAAGTTGGAAGGGACATAGGAGGTCATCTAGTCCAACCCCCTGCTCAGGCAGGAAACTCTATACTATTTCCAACAAATGGCTGTCCAGTCTCTTCTTAAAAACTTCCAGTGTTGGAGGAGGGACGGAGGGAGGGAGGGAGGAAGGAAGGAAGGAAAGAAGGAAGGATAACAGAATAACAGTTGGCAGGAACCTTGGAGGTCATCTAGTCCAACCCCCTGCTCAGGCAGGAAACCCTATACTATTTCTGACAAATAGTTGTCCAGTCTCTTCTTAAAAACTTCCAGTGTTGGAGGAGGGACGGAGGGAGGGAGGGAGGGAGGGAGGAAGGAAGGAAGGAAGGATAACAGAATAACAGAGTTGGAAGGGACCTTGGAGGTCTTCTAGTCCAACCCCCTGTTCAGGCAGGAAACCCCATACCATTTCAGACAAAAGGTTGTCCAGTCTCTTAAAAACTTCCAGTGTTGGAGCATTCATAGCTTCTGGAGGCAGGTTGTTCCACTGGTTAGGTAATTGTTCTTCATTTACAGATAGTCCCTGTCTTAAAAGCATTCGTTTGGTGGCTGTTCAAAGCAAAAAAAAAAAGTGACTTATGACCGTTTTTCACACTTAACGACAGTTGCAGCATTCCCATGGTCACGTGATCAAAATTCGGCCGCTTGGCAACCGGCCTGCATTTAGGACAGTGACCAAAATTACAAAAGCACCGAAAAAAAGGGACTTACAGCCATTTTTGAAATGTATGGCCATTGCAGCATCCTAATGATCACGTGATCAAAATTTGACGCTTGGCAACTGACTCGTATTTACGACGGTCGCGTGTATGGGGCAAAGCTTACTTAACAACAGAAATTTGTGGTCGTAAGTCGAGGATTACCTGTACTATCTTATCTTCTTTTCAGTTGTTCTTTTTTTAAAAAATAAAATGCTGAATTGTTATCCAGCTTAAACAAAGAGACCGTTTTTGCAACATTGTCAATAGATATACTTTTCTCTTATAAAGTTTTAGAGAGACACAGCAGAAACAAAATATCTCCTTAAAAAAAAAAAGTAAGCAAGTATACAAGCCCCACCAGTTAAAAAGGTGTTGTGGCTAGTTAAAATTTGCCATTCCTGCCCGGTTACATCCGAGTAGACCCCTTTGTGTGCACGCTGCAAAAACAGCACCCCTCCAGTGAATGAAATAAAATGTTAATCGCAGGATCTTAACTATTAAAGACTTGAGTGTTTTCCCAGACTGACATCCTAGGGATAAAATGGTGTCTCGGTCAAAAAATAATAATAATGAAGATTTAAATTTTGAAAGTAATTTTAGCTTTTGTGTTTATTTACCCAGATCGTCCCTTACTTTGGGATCATGTTCAGCACTTTTGAATTCTGTAAGCGGGTCTGCCTGTACCGGAATGGTTACACCGATTCCCCTTTACGCTACGCCCTTACTCCCGGTGTAGACCAGAGTTTACAACCTCAGGAACTGCAAGACATAAAGCTCCTTGGACGTAGAAACTTCTAAGCCTCTGGATGCATTTTTGAATGCAGCTTCTCACTGAGATTCAAAGCCAGCTATCTTGTCTTCCATGGAATTGCTGCCAGAGGCCCCAAACTCAAGGAAATGGGACATAATTTCCTTATTTAAGATGGTCTGCGCAACTGGACAGCCTCCCAAGCTGATAAAATCCATCCACTCTCATTTATTGCCAACTATTGAACTGTGGTGCTGTCTAAGCTTGGTTGTTTTCTTGCGGACGTTTCATTGCCCAACTAGGTAACAACATCAGTGCTGGAGGGAGAGTGGGGTTTGCTTTCTCAAATATATATACTGCTCAGAATAATAAAGGGAACGCAAACCCCTTCAGTTCCATGTTAAAATGTTCCCTTTATTTTTTTGAGCAGTATATATATGTATATAACCTGAGAACAAATTTCACTCCCTTCCAGCATGATGATGCTACCTAGTTGGGTCATGAAACATCTGCAAGAAAACAACGAAGCTCAGAGAGCACCAGGGATCCCACAGTCCTCCTCCTCTTCCTCCTCTCCACTCCCTTCTAGCACTGATGATGCTACCTAGTTGGGTCCTGAAACATCTGCAAGAAAACAACCAAGCTCAGAGAGCACCAGGGACCCCCCACTTCAACCCTGAGTTACAAACATTCCAACTATTGAACTATTGATTGGAATGGTATCGCCATTTTGGTCTCCTAACTTACGAACTCTTAAAAACTCCGTTCCTTTTCCAGTGCAGCCTGATCCGTCACAGCATAATAATGAATCTCAGATCAGCAATGTGTGAAATCGTCATTCGTCACAGGATCGTCGGAAAGGAGAACCAGGGGCCAATGCGACACAATCTCCTATCCTGAAGATGGGAATCCCATGGGGACTTTTTGAAGTACAGCCCTCCTCTTAGAAGTGGGATTGCGTACGTGAGGAGGAAGAGGAGGAGGATGCTAAAAAGAGATCCTTCTCCACATCAAAATCCCCCCCCCCGGCCATAGAAAGCTAGCTGATGGAGATCCGATTAGAGATGTCCCTGACATGCTGACTTTCCACGGGGAATGAATTTTAATAGGGTGGTTGAACGTTTAATTCCTGAAAAACGGCAACCCCCCTCCCCATCTACCTATTCCGAAATGGAACAGTCCAAGAAGGGCTGTAGTACGTGCTGCTTGGGTTCTGCTGGAGTCTCCCCGTGAACTGTAGTCTTAGATGTCCCCAAGGTGCTTTTTCAAGAGGCAAATGGACTTCCTTGATTTTCTTTGATTTTCTTCTTCAAAGAAAAACAAGAAAGTCCAAGCTCTGAGCTTCAACTTCAGAGCTGAAGAAGCTTCTGGGATGAGAAGCAAAACGTCTTCAAAGAAAAGCAAGGCCCAGTTGTCTCTTGTGAAAAAGCACCTTTGGAACAACCCTGACCTGGAGGACGGCGAATCTCCATGAACATATATTCTTAGTTCTCCCTTTTTTTTTAGATCCCCCAAAAGCTTGCAAATGAGCAGCAGTGACCAAATGTACAGGAAAGTTCCCTCTCTCCTAATCTTGAAATTTAATATGCCAGCACAGTTCTTTCTCTTCCTTGTTATTTTAGATACCAACCTAAAGTCATGAGTCTGTTAACAATTGCTCTAAAATTCCTAGCAATAATGGGTTTTTAATGGGTTTTCTTGCTGTATACTTGATACTGAACTTATTAAACAGGAGAACAAGTGACTGTGGCTTAAAAGTCTCGTGGTCAGGTGGTTTGTGCATATTAATAAACCAGCCGATGGTCCCATTGCCTTAACCTAGTGAAGTCAGAATAACAAGAGTTGGAAGGGACCTTGGAGGTCTTCTAGTCCAACCCCCTGCTCAAGCAGGAGACCTTATGCCACTTTAGACAGATGGCTGTCCAGTTTCTTCTTAAAAGCCTCCAGGGATGGAGCAACTATAACGGATGGTGGATAGCTTATGGGTATTAAAATGACGGCAATAAATGCATTATGGAAATGACAATCGCAAAGCAAATATAAGGAATATATGCAGGCAAATTATGCAGTCGCCTTGGGCCAGGTTTTTCAAAGTGAACGGATCAAGTTCCTTGAGAGACCACGGGAAAAAGCGGGGGAAAAAATAATCAGTTTAGAAAGAGGCATCAATAGCAATTTTTTAAAGGGACTCTCACCCCCGGCAAGTCACTTAGAGAAAAATTCTGGGAGTTGTCTAGGTCCTTTTATTTATTTATTTGTTTGTTTGTTTAAACACCGGTGGCACCATTGCTAGGAGTCCAAAACTAACACGAAGAGCACAAATTTCTCGGAAGATTCTCCAGTGTCCAGTTAAGTCGGATGCGAAATGGCTTAATCCTGTTGATGAAAGCGACAAAAAAAAAATTTAAAAAGCAAAAATTTGTAATTAAAAACAGTTATTATTATGGGGCATGGATTGCATGATTCAGGTAAGATGCTAGTTGCTAGCAGCTCTCAACAAAGCCACGGCTCAGGATATTTCTCTTATGTGAATGTCAAAAGAAAATGTAAGCCATCAGCTGCCCTGCTTTTGTGCGGATTTTGGGAACCCAAGGAAAATAAGGGGGTTTTTTTTGGGTGGGGTGGGGTGGAGACAAAGTCTTACCATTTAAAAACTCTCCCAGCCAGGGTTGGGGCCAGAGGGATGCCTGGCAGATCTCAAGATCTTTAGAAGATCCACTGCACGGGCCAGGGGGCCATCATTCCTAATTAAGGCCAAAAGTTGGGCCAAATTTCTCCATGTCCCTCACCTCTTCCAGGCCAGGATGGGGGACAAGGACGTACCTTGTCCCAGAGCATCCAAGTCCTAGGAAGCCTTCCAACCTGGCCACCGCAAGGGACTGCGACACAAATGGGATGCTGTGTTGAACTCAACCTGGTTTGTTTATGGATCACTAAGCAAAACCAGCCACAGCCCAGAAAGAAAACTTTGAGATGGTAATAGACGCGGCATGATTAAAAGCCTGCTCCCCTGCCTCCCCACCACCCATCCTTTTAAAGCAGTGGTTCTCAATCTGTGGGTCGGGACCCCATTTGGGGTCAATCGACCATTTCACGGGGGTCGCCAAGCAAGGCTGTCCGCCATTTTTTTTGTCCGCCATTTTTCCCCCTTTTCCGGCGGGTGCCTTACCTCCCTTGGGCTGGGCCAGCTGGTGGTCAGCCTGCTCCGTCTCTGCCGCTTGCCAGCTACGCCTCGGCCGGCGCAGGGGGCGGAACCAGCGCTCCCGGGCAGGGAAAGTCCTCGACTTACGACCGGTTGGGTAGTCCTCGACTTACGACCGGTTTAGTCCTTGACTTACGACCGGTTGGGGTCGCGGCATTAAAAAGGTTGAGAACCACTGTTTTAAAGCATAAGCTCAGGGCTGCATCTGGGGCAGGGGCTGCAAATTGCAACCCCTGCAATGCCAGGCAATGGCG